CCAAAAAACGTTCCGAAAAATTGACAGATTTAACATAACCCCTATTTCCATTTGTAATCACATTTGTCATTTAATTATGTCAACAAGTTACGATAGAGACGTGTTTTTATTGTGGAAAACGAAGTAAAAAGAGTATTCGTACTCTTTATACATAAATAAAACTATTATGTTTACAATAATTTGTTAATAGATTCAACTGTTTTGTCGAAACAAACTGAAACACTTACTAATTGTTATAGAAGCATACAAGAATACAAATAATATTTTTCATTAAATGAGAAAATTGACTTGAATTATAACGAACATTACTAAATTAAATAATATTCTTGTTATTTGAAATGTCCTACAGAATTGGAGCTTTTGGGGAATTAGCTGAAGAGTATGGATATGAACAATTTTAATGTTGTAAGTGCAGGAATGCGATTATGTTCAGTTTCATTTCGAGCTATCCTGCATTGATAAAACACAAAGGAAGACTGTTGGTAATGCATTTAAAAATATTACATTATATCCTTTTTACAATAATAAAAATATTACAAGAAATATAAATGTTTATTTTTTCACCTTTTCCCTGATTTCCTCTATTTCATTTAAAATATATAAAAATCAATATTTGCATAATTGTAAAGTTATTTAAAGCCTTTAAATTTGTTTTTTATTTAATTGTAAATTATATTCGAATAATCTACATAAAATTTCAGTCATAACAGTATCTTCCTAGAACAATTTTTGAGTACATATATTCAGTGGCGGCTTGTGGTAATTAAAAATGTATGTTCACTTTTTCCAATAATTTTATCATTTGTAGGTTTGGATCAAAACTTTGTACAAGAGTCAATATCGCTGTTTTTTTTATTATTTTAGTTTGTATTAAGTGTAGTTATTATTATCAACATCATACTATTTTCAAGCACTACAACTATTAAAAAATTAATATTTTAGTTAGTGTAATATTTGTTTTGTTTTTAATACGTTGAAAACCATTTATAATTATTATTAATAAACTGACTTTTCTTCATAATTTGAGATTATTTTTAAATATATATCAGGTTATGTAGAAAGCTTGACATTGATTTTTGTGTAAAAAATTTAATATGAAAGTTTACCTACCATTTTTTAGTTTTTATTGTAAATTTAATCATTTTCACAATTTGTCAAAAATATCAAATAAAAAATATATTTTTTAAGTCCCTTTTATTGGCAAATAAAATAAGAACTAAAATGTTTTAAATGTTTATTTTATAAGATCAGTCCCTTCACAATACATAATATTACACAGACACAAACTAGAATAAATATATATAATGCCTGGCATTCCAAATGATACTCTTCGCAGTTAACAGGGCCCCTTAATCCCCATTTTCAAACAGATTGTTTTCACAATCAGTAGGCCTCAACTCCTTATATAGCTGGATTTTACTAAAAATGTTTATATCGCTTTTCACTTTTGATTTTTTTTTTAATTTCAACCCCCCTTAAATCCCTCATATTTAATCAGATTTTTTTTTATAATTAAAGGGCTTCTTCTCCTTTTAGAGATTGATGTTTGCTAAAAATTTCAAGTTTATATTCTTTTTCGTTTTTCAGTTAGAATTTATTTTATATTTTAACCCCCCTTAACTCCCCAATAGTTTAATCAAAAAATGGAGGTTTTATATACACTTTCTTCACGTACTAGTGTGTAAAGAAAGTTTAACTTTTCGTTCTAATCATAACACTTTGGTTTGTAATAAAATATAATTAACCTAATTTAATTAACATATTTTCACCAAATTAAAACAAATTAACTAGATTAACTTGAGACTTAAATGTTATTATTTAGTTATTAATAATAAAACGAATTAACTAGATTAATCAGTGGGGATATCGCGCATGGTGTCATGGCGGCGGTGACGTCATGCGTAGAGTTAGTAGAGTTGGCGCGAAGCAAATATCATATGGAAGACGCACGTTTCAGTGGTTTGTAAGTCGTTTTTTGTGCTATATAACATTTTAAGAGGATATTTATATTATATTGTAAACTTTGTTCTTTGTGAGTGGTATTGGTGAAGAACATTAAAAAGGTTACGCTATTTACGGATGTGACAGTAATAATCAAAGCAAAGGACTTCAAAGATACCTTGTTTTTTGCTTTCCTCGACAGTAAGATGTTAGTTAACAGTGAGCAGTGACCCAAGACCGGCTCCAGTGGGGCTCCCAGGGGGGCATGTCCCCTTTTTGCACTATAAAAATCTATGAGCCTTGCATTAAAAAAAAAAAATAATAAAAGGGAATTGTTATAGGCAATGCTACCTCCCCTCGAAAATTTTACCTGGAGTCGCCCTTTCAGTGGACTATGACCATGCAGATAAATTTAAAACAGAAAAATATCATGTCGTCTATTCCAAGTACATAAATAATATTCAATAATGCAGATAAATGATTCAAACCAATGGCGAATCCTAATTATGTAAAAAAATTTCGGCGTCTCCAGATGCGAAACTTATACCTTAGTTGAGTAGTTCCGAGTTATAGAAACTATTATTTGGAAGTCGAATGATCTAAAAAATTTAGAACCTGCATTCGAATTTGTATAACAAAAATAAATCATTAAAAAGAAACAGGAAAAAAACATAACATAAATAAACATATCTTTTATATATGTATTTGCATTAATTTTCCTTCATAGTTTTTTCCTTAACTATTCCATAATAATATACTTAGATATTCCATATAATTCTTAAACTATTATACTTTAATATTCATTAAATTTCTATAAATAGCATATATTTTCCTCATACTTCGTCTGTATTTTTAAATTTGCGCCTATACAAACTCTACGCGTGACGTTATGCGCGTAGCCGTCCTATTTTCGACACTGTTGATATCCTACCTTTTATTTTTTATACCATGTAGATTAATATGGAATTGAATATAAGTTATTTAATTATTAACAATATTAATGTGAAAATTGCAGTTTGTGCACTAGTTAAAACTTAATCCTTTAGCTTGCTCCATGCTAGAGTTTACCTTAGGTACTAAGTTGTTTAAATTATTATAGATAACGTTAGTTACTTCATAACATGAAGAATTGCCAATAACGTTGCTAACTTGCGTGGAAATAGAAGGGGAGTTATCTTCTATTACATTCGCATTAGAAATATTTTGTGATGTGCAAGGGATATTATCATCCATTAATATTAAATTAGATACATTATTTATTTTACTTAAAGTAGAATCTATGTAGCACTCTGCGACGGTAGACGACTTCCAGCCGCATGTTTTTTAACTGTTAGACGGTCACATCCAGAATTTGCCAACTTTGTTGCTGATGAGCTCCTAAAATAATTTCCAGTATACATAGTCAGATTAGGCAATTAAAGATAATTTGCTATAATAGTGGCGCACTTATTGTTTCCATATTTCAAAAAGAATCTGGAAGTCGCCATCATAGGAGGTCTTCGGCATGCGCAGGAAATGCCAATTATAAATGCCACCTGAAAAAAAAACAATATTGATATAATGATTAATGACTTTATTACACACTTCAGCAGAAACAAAAGTTTCCTTGGCGCGGATTTGAACCTGGGACCTTCGTCACTGGAGACAAGCATTTTACCACTGCGCCACTATAACTCTTTGTTATATTTATATTTGTAATGTTTCCATAAAAATGACTGCTTAATTACAACACTACCAGTTTTTATTATAAAAATTATATAAATACTATATAATTTAAATATAATAAATATTGTACATTATGCTTACTTTAATCATTAGAAAAGTTGAATCTGGAGCCTTTTTGAGAAAAGTTATTCAATGATCTTTTTAGAAAATGTTTGATTTTTTTGCCTTGTACCAATTGCTCTTGTTTTTTACAAAACTAACTAATTTATAATATTTTAAAGTTGTTTTTAACATAGAATATATCGACCATGTTGTAGATGGAGTATAGTGTTTTAATTCATTTGAAAAATATGCTACCAGGACATTCTCAGAACATTTGGTAATTTTATTTCTTTTACACCATTCCATAAAGAAATTATATTTCGACTCATAAATGTTGGCTGATTTTTGGGGCAATAAATCTTTCGAAACATTCTGTGCTGCATCCAATATATTCGATCAAGTATTTTCGAAATAATCATCAGAATTAGAAGAATCCATTGTTAAAATGAAGTTTGTATAGATGCCTCTTTTGTTTTCTAAAGAAAATATCTACAATAATAACATAATAATTACCTAAATATTAAATAGACATATTTTTACTTACCTTATTTCAGTTTAAATGTCGATTAGAATAAAGAAATTTAAGAAATATCTCACAACACGTACTAAATGTCAGTCAATTACAGCCAACTTAGCAAGATTGTTAAAAATCTTTAATTACAATTTTTGTAACTTTTAGTATTATTTAATTTTATATTATATTCACATAGGTATTTGCTAAGTTCAAATAAGTTTTGATGTATGATTAAATCAAAAAATAAAACAACTTATTTATAATATTTTTGAATATTGATATTGTTCTTGATTTTTGAAGTTAAAATGTCAAATTAAATAAAGACGTGTCAGTCATCCACAGCCAACTTAGCTGGATCGTTAGGAACTTAAATAATTTTCGTCAACAGGTAATAAGATTTTACAATAATTTATATTAATATAATATTTAAACTGGATTGAAATAACTACGTGGCCTACAGTCCTAATTTAATCTAATCTAATCTCTAACTATAAAAATATATGATTAAATTGAAAAAAATTAAATTAAATATTTAATATACTCATTATTTTTATAAGAACTGTCAATACTACAACTTGTTTGTTTTCTTTACGCACTTAAAGCGTAAATAAAAACTCTTTACGCACTAGTGCGTGAAGTAAAGTTTCACGAACTCTGCAGCGTGCAAAATAATAGTACTTTAAGAACGGTAGTAGAAAAATATTTTATTTTGATTTATTCAAATGTGAGCTTCAAAAAATTCTGACTTTTGGTAGCTAACATTACATTAAAACAAAACTTAAGATGCTAAATTGGTTTTAAATTTATAACTACTTTCTGCCATAGCTGTTAAATTCTTAGCTGTGGATTTTCCAGTTTGCTGAACTAAAGAATAAAATACACCTTTCTTATTCAGTAACAAAGTGTGAGGATGGTCAAATTCAACAGATGTTCCAGCATCCATTACGAGGACCTTGTCAGAATCCATGACGGTATGAAGCCTGTGGGCTATAGTTATCACTGTACAATTAGCAAACTTTTTCCTGATAGTTGTTTGGATTAAACCATCTGTATGTGGATCTACATTAGCTGTGGCCTCGTCTAGTACTAGAATTTTGTTGTTTCGTATTATAGCTCGAGCTAAACAGACCAGTTGTCTCTGGCCCACACTAAAATTTGAGCCTCCTTCTGCTATTTTATTATCTAGACCTGCTGGTAATTCGTTTACAGCGTTTTTCAGTTCTACTTCGTCTAAGGCGTTCCAAAGATCCTAAATAACAACATAAGAAATAATATTACTATATTTTCAAAGTCATGAACTAGAAAGGTAATTATTAACAATTTAAAAACTGATAACACTTTAGAAAACTTAACTATAAAAATATTATGCAAACCTACCTCATCTTTGTACTCATCAAAGGGGTCCAAGTTTTTTCTCAAAGTTCCAGAAAATAGCACAGGCTCTTGAGGTATAATGGACATTTTTGATCTCAGCTTTTTAAGAGAAACAGTTTTAGTATCAATACCATCCATAAATATCTTTCCATCTATATGGGTCATTCTAAAGAGCGCCTGGATCAAAGAAGTCTTTCCGGCTCCCGTTCTACCAACAATTCCAATTTTTTCATTTGCTTTTATCAGAAAACTCAGATTTTTAAGAACAGGTGGATCGTCCGGAAAATACCGTAAAGATATATCACTAAATTCTATTTCGCCTTTCAAGGGCCAGCTCACAGGAGGTTCGTAAGTTGTATTGTCTTCTTCTTTCGTTAGATCTGTGTATTCTTGCACTCTTTCTACGGACGTCATCTGATTTTCTAGCTCACTCCACTGTCGTACACCCCATTGAAATGGGCCAATGAGGCTCGATGCTTGGCTTAAAGCCAGGCCTATATTGCCACCAAATTGTTCTTGAAAAGAAAAAAGATATATTTAAAAATTCTTGTTGTCTCGACGAAAAATAATTTATTTACCACTTTTGAAAAACAATAAAGAAACCATGACCAAAGCAACGTAGCTAACACAAATCAAGTCCAACCAAAATGCCAATGTTCTATTAGCACCAACATACATGCAGAATGCAGCACTGTTAAGGTTTTGGTACTTGTCGAATTCATCTTGGAGTATTTCTTGAGCTTTAAATGCTCTTATTGTTGTTAAACCATTTAATGATGCTGAGAGATGAGTGTAAATGGGACTTCGAGCTAAAAACGAGAACAAAGTTCGGTCATTTCTAATATTCAAATATTAAATGTCAGCACATCTACGTATTGAGGATAGATCTAAATACCCCTTATTCGATGTATTTTAAATTTTGTATAACCAGGATTCAAAAATTGGAAAAGTACTCGATGATGTTAAGGAAGGTATAAAGAAAAGAACTTACTGACCGATTCTATTCTCTTAATGTCTCTACTAGTTTCTAGGGAGATAATACTTATGACGTACAAGAGAACACCAATTAAGACGGTGGGAATCAAAATCCAAACTGTTAAGCTTCCTACGATTAGACTGGTGGCTACCACGCTAAGACCAATCTAAAAAAGAAGAATTTTATTCTGTTGGCGAAGTATAGTTTAATTAACAAACTTTGCAGAAAAAATTACGTTTTGTATCACTGAAAAATATTTCCAGATTATAGAAGTCTTATTTTCGTACCTGTATTGCATCCAATAAAGTCATAGGCAAAACCTCATCCAATGTTCCAATATCCCTAGAAAAACGATTTAATATTCGTCCACTTGGATTTGAATTAAAGAAACTCATCGGACTGTAGACGATGTTAATGAACATCTTGTTGTGCATTTGTGTAGAAGCCGTCAAGCACCATTGAAAAAAGGCTAATGATCTTGATATTACTGTAAAAACTACAAGAATTACTATGATCGAATAATAGTAGGTGACATATTTGCTGGTAAAAACTGAGGTCAACCACCAGCTATCAAAAGGGTCGTCTTGCTGAATTGGAGGAGATAAAGTGGATGTTAAATTAAGTGAAGATAAAGTTATTAAAGAATTTTGTGACTTCCATTGTTGTATATTTACCCTAAAAATAAAAATCAAATTATTGGACTCTCAAATGTATTTAACACTTTTCGTTTTGTTATTCCTCTCAATAACGAAATATTATATAATTACATACCTCTTTAATTCTTAGCCAATTGTTTCTGTCTTGTGCTTTTTCTATTTTATAAAGTCACGGAAACTGGATAAGAGTTGTAGAAACATGTACAATATAATAAAAAAAAACTAAAATATTACAGGTGTGACCACACCTATGCTATCTTCCCTCTAAGTAGATCTACTTAGTAGATCTTCTGAAAAATTTCTGTTTGGTGTGGTATGTCTATCATAAAAGGGCACGACAAGAAAAAAAATTATTGATTTATATACTTAGTGAAACTCAAAAAATTATATGTGTCATACCAATTCCTAACTTACCAAAGCGTGACGAAATATTCTGCTATACTATCCAAAACTTGACCGACAATGAAAACAAAAATCAGAAGAATAACTTTAATAATGTTCCCACCAGCTTTGGCGTAGCTTAGATATATGTTACTAGATATCTTTCCGATAGCCTTATCTTCTCTTTGTATTACTTGCACATCATTATATTCACTTTTTTCTTTTGGCTTATCAATATCAATTGTGGGTTTCCTTCTAATGTCTTCTTCCTCGTCTTCGATGTTAGCGAGAAGTTTGCTGTATTCATTATTTGACTTTCTAATATCTTCATAAGAACCCGATACTTCAATTCTTCCACCATTCATAAGATACATTTTTTCGATTTTTTTTAGATACTGCAGTTGGTGTGTTACCAGAATTACACATTTTTTGTTGAGATAACTCGTTATACACTCTTCAAATAGCTGTTTTCCCACTTGGGTGTCCACAGCTGATAGAGGATCGTCTAGAAGGTAGATATCCGCTTCTTTATAAACGGCTCTCGCTAAGTTGATTCTAGCTCGTTGACCACCGCTAAGGGATACACCTCTTTCAGTTACTAAGGTTCTATCTCCATGCGCAAATAAAGTAAAATCCCTTTCAAGAGCACACACTCTAACTACTTCGTTGTATTTTGTTTGTTCAAATTTCTGACCAAACAGGATATTCTGTCTAATACTTCCTCCAAACAGCCAAGGCTCTTGAGATGCATAAGACACAACATATTTAACTTGACGAAAAATACTGTTAAGCTCCAAATCTTTCATGATAACGTGCAGCAGAGTTGATTTACCGCTACCTACAGGTCCTACAATAGCAACACAACGGCCAGCTTTAATATCCAAGTTAATATCTTCTAAATAGTTATCTGGTAACACTTTTACACATTTATCAGAATCATTTTTAATTTTAATATTTTCATCAAGTTGTTTTAGTAAAGGTTCTGATGTGGATTTGCGCACGAAGTCTTCATCGTGAATTTTCAAGCTGTTGGTAATAATGTTCTTTTCGAATTCAATTTCATCAAGCATGAGAAATCTTTGTATTCTTTTTATAGAAATATACATTTCCGAACCCTGAGAGACGGCCTGAGGGAAGAATTCTGTTAAAGTGTAAAGACGTTGGTAAAAGGATGTCACTGTGTATGCGTAGGAGGCTGTGACTGGGTTGCCAGTGAAGACATAGACAACTATGGATATTGCGACAGCGCATCTGCTTAATAATACTCCTAGGGACATCAAAATAGCTCTGATTCTTGAAGTTATGCCAATATATTTTATTTCATTCCTGAAAATAGAAAGGCGTCTCATAAAAATTTCATATAGAGGACTAATATATACAGGGTGTTTGCAAAAAGATGGGACTATGGCTTAACCATAGACTTCTGGAATAAAAATAATATTTTTAACCCAACTTACCTCTCTCATTAAGAATGGGATACAGAACAACATAGATAAGTTACAATTTCATTCTCTCTAAATTTTACGCTGCAGTCCCAAAACCTATGATAACTATACTTTTATATTTTTTGATGTTTTTTAAACAAATCATGTACTCTTGTTGGGGACTCATAAAGATATTGGTTTTCAAGATATTCACACTCAAAGATAAATATTCATCATTTTAACTTTGTAATTTTCGATTTTTTAAAAATTTCCAACAGGAGTACATGCTTTATATAAAAATATAAAAAATTTAAAATTATAGTTTGTCATACAAGTACCTACTAAATAATTTCATAACATATTCTATAAATGGGTTGCTGAGTAGTATTCACTTCAGTTTAAATTAAGTTGGTATATAACGAACTTTTGTGGCTGCACTATGACTCTTTATCCTTGGCTATCCAGAAAGTCAAGGTATTGTTGCTTCTTTAAATCATATCTTGGTGGGTTTTAAAAAGCTATGATCACAATTTCATAGGTTTTTGTTTTCATTTTAACAGATGTGGCCTGTATTTCTACTGTTTGGAAACCAATTTCTTGATAGTCTTTGAAATGTTGCGATGATAGTGTATACGTAAACGGCGAAGTAAATGGTAAAAAGTATACACAGTTCGTGGATACTGGGGCAACTAGGACTATTATACCACCAAAAACTATAAATAATCTAAAAAGACTACTACCAACAAGATTGTCACTGCGGATTACAACAGGTCAAAGTTCCAACATCCATGGGCAAATTCAGGTTCAATTAGCAAAGAAAACTTCACTCACACTATTATTGTCGCTGATATCAAAAACATATTATACTAGGAACAGATATGATGAACCTAAATGGCTTCCAGTCGAATTTTAAGAACAGAGTGATCAAAGTTGGTGCCAAAGAGGTATTCCTACATCCATATGGGGACAGTACCGGGACAGGATACGATGGTACCTGGCAAAAGTAAAACCATTATATTAGCACGGCTTGAAGAAACTATGTAAGAAGGAATACCTGTGATGATGGACCCTTATAACCACGCTGAAGAAATTGGACTGCTAAAGAAATCCAGTAACTCTAATAAACGTTAATGATCACCCAATTACCATCAAGAAAGATACCAGAATCCGAAAATATGTACCAGTAACTTCCATAATTCGTTAGATAAAAATTTCTGAGAATTCCAATGACAAATTCGAGCAAATGATTGCAGTTACTGGTCAAATAAAGGAATTTCTTCGACGATATCGTGAAATTTTTGTACGAAAAGAAGGAAAAACCGGAAGAACTCTTGTAAAACATAAAATTGATTCTGGTGATGCCAAGCCGATTCGTCAATCGATTTGAAGATTATCAAAGGCCAAAAGAGAGGAAGCTGTAAGGATTTTTCGGGAGATAGAGGAAGTCACGGGGATAGAACCTCCTACCAGCCCATGGGTCTCCGGTAGTACTGGTCCAGAAAAAGGATGAAGCTACGAAGGTCTGTGTGGACTACCGCCAGTTAAACAATGTTACCAAGAAAGACAGTTATATTCTGCCTAAAATCGACGATACCTTGGACAAATTGCTGGAGCGTAAACTATTTTTGACCTTAGACTTAAAGTCTGGATATTGGCAGGTGAAAATGGATCCAGTAGAAAAACAAAAAAAAAATACCACAGGATTTGGATTGTGGCAATTAAATGTCAAGCCATTTGGACTATGTATTGCTCCCGCAATATTTGAAAAACTATTGGAAAATGTATTGAGATAATTATCCTGGTAAACATGCCTGGTGCATTTAGACATTATAGTTTTGAAGAAGACATTTGATGAACATCTAAAGAACTTAAAGGATAGTTTTAAAAGACTTCAAGCTGCCCTACTGATGCTAACCCCCAAGAAAGTCATATAGTCAGCAAGGATGGCGTGACTGTAGATAAGAAAAAGTAACTTCCATCAAACAATGGCCACAACCAACTGATAAACATCAAATAAGTAGTTTTTTTTACGTACTACCGAAGATTCAGAAGGAAGCTCGCAGATATTGCTAAACCATTAACACGACTCGCAGAAAAAGCAAAAACATTCTGTTAGGACAAAGACGCGACGCTACGCTACCATAGAGATAATTTTTTCTGGATACTGATGCCAGTTATGTGGGAATTGGATAAGTGCTTTCACATATTCAAGGGAGAAAGGATAGAGTACTAGGTTATTTTAGTAAAGTGCTTTCGAAACCTGAGCGAAATTACTGCGTCACAACAAGAGAACTCCTGGTAGTTGTAAAATGCGTGGAACACTTCTACCAATACCTATATGAAAGAAAATTCTTAATTTGCACTGATTAGTCAACTTTTAAGTGGTCTATGCAAATAAAAAACCCAAAGAGTCGAATCACCAGATGGATTGCACGACTTAAAAAGTATGAGTTGAAGATCAAACATAGATCCGTAATAAGACACAGAAATGCCGATTGCTTTTCTAGAAGACCATGCCCAGCAGAGTGCTCTTATTGCAACAGAGCAGAATCCATTAAAGTGGACTACTAAGAACAACTACTGTAGTCAACAACTAATGGGCCCCTGCCAAACTTAGGAAAGAACAAGGTCCAAACAAGGCAGAGGAAACTAAAGGATCGAGTGTGACCAGACCGGTCGGAAATGGCACTCGTTACACTATGTTAGTGGCCAAGCCGTTGTGCGATGTGCTCGAATGGAATGTTCGCTTGAATTATTTATTGTGTCTTGGAATAAGACCACGTAAATTTTTTCGTCGGAATCGAATTACATAATAAATAATTTATTTATGCATCGTTTAGCCATTGACCCGACAATTGTAATATATGTTAAACTGAAATAAAAATAAATATTGACAAACATATTTTGCGCTAGTGCCACGACTCTTTGGCTCAATATCATAAGCCGCCACTAACCTAATCAGACGATAGGTAAGTTGGGTTAAACCTTATTTTTTATTATAGGAGTCTATAATTAAGCTATGTCCAAATCTTTTCGAGACACCCTGTATACATCTTCATTCTTCAGTTGCCATAATTTTTAATGCATTCATTCAACAATTTATTTTGCCATTTTTTAGAGATGCATTAAATTATCCAAACTAGTTATATGATCATGACTCATGTGGTCTGTTAATCTTAGTTGTGAGGCTTGACAATATTGTTTTTAAGACAAAGTGTACTAAGTATACACTATAGGTATATACTTACATTCGAACTATTTCTACGAATTTGGCAAACGGATATTCCCACGTGTACATTTTGATTACTTGAATTCCACAAATAATTTCGTTCATCAGTCTTACTCTCTCATCAGTTCGCTCAGCTACTGTAAACCTGTATTGTGATGTTTTTTTAGCCAACCAAACTAAAATCATTTTAAATATTAAAGTATGCGTAAGGCCTATTTTCATTTGTCTGAAAAACATAGTACGTATGTATATTATCTGGTCAGTTATAATTTATAGCAATTTGTCAATAAGGTCAAATGGCCAGAAATAAGTGTTTATCAAAACATGTTGGTCCTTTCGAGCATTTGTAGTCACTTTAGACCTCGAAACAAAGGTGCGATACTAAAATGTATTAGAATGTAGGTGTCGTAAAAAATGGTCAAAATTCGTTTAGCCGAAATCAGTTACGTAAAAATTGTTGCCCTGGCAACCATTGCCATGGTAACCAGTAAACAAAAACCCAAATCTCGTGGTGAGGAAATGCATAGTTGCCAAGTTATAGATCATTTAATGTTCACTTTAGTTTAGACGAAATCAGTTATGGTGAAACTGTTGCCATGGGAACGCTTGACATAGTAACGACTAAACAAAAAATCTAAACCCGTGGTGAGGAAATGCGTGGTTGGCAAGTTACAGATCATTTAATTTTCACTTGAGTTTAGCTGAAATCGGTTACGGAGAACTCGTTGCCAAAAGAACACTTGTCGTGATGTCGACTAAAAAACACCTAAATTCGGTCGTGAGATATAATACGCAGTAGCCTCTTATATTTATTTTAACTCTTAACACATATCCTAATCTAAACTAAAGTGAAAATGAAACTGTCTGGGACTTGTAGGGTTGCCAGACGTCACGCTTTTGGCGTATTTGCCACGCTTTTTGACTTACTCGTACGCGCAACGCCACAGTACGAAAATGCCACGCTTTTAAAAAATGCCACTCTTTTTATGCAAGTACCACTCTTTTTATGTAAATGCCACATTTTTTAATATAATGATGCAGAGGTACCGGATTTATACAAAAATAGACAAATGTCCGGGTAAACGACCCTCGTTTTACGAAAAATAAGCTGAGGACCTTTTTTTAGAAATGTTCACAAAAATTGACATAATTATATAAAAATGATTGGTATTTGAACCTAATGCTCTGTCGTCACGGTTGTCACGATTTTCACTTTCTGAAATCTGGCAACCCTAATGACTTGGCAACTAAGCATTTTCACCCTCGTTCCACCCACCTACTAACCACTACTTGGCAACTACTTGATAACCGATTTCGGCTAAACTAAAGTGAAAATTAAATGATTTATAACTTGGCAACTACGCATTTCCTCACTGATAGATTTGGGTTTTTGTTTAGTCGTTAGCATGACTAGCGTTTCCATAGCAACAGTTTCTTCATAACTGATTTTTACTAAACTAAAATGAACATTAAATGATCTAAAACTTGGCAATTACGCATTTCCTCACTATGAGATTTGGGTTTTTGTTTAGTCGTTGACATGACAAGCGTTTTCATGGCAACAGTTTTTCCATAACTGATTTCAGCTAAACTAAACATTAAATGATCTATAACTTGGCAATTATGTATTTTCCTACCACGAGATTTGAGTTTTTGCTTAGTCGGTAACACGACAAGCGTACCCATGGCAACATTTATTCCATAAGTGATTTCAACTAAATGAAATTAAACAAAAACCGCAATCATCTACAACTTGGTAACTACGCATTTCCTCACCATGAGATTAGGGTTTTTGTTTACTTATAGCCATCACAATTGTAATCATGACAACAGGTTTTTCATAACAGATTTCGGCTAAACGAAACTTGAGCCAAAAAATGCAGAACTACCATCATTGAGATACCCGGACACTACATACGAACAAAGCACAAAGAAGTCGATGAATCCCAGGAGGTCAATAAATTTAATGACCAGCGAGAAGCTTAAAGAAATAGAATTTAAAAAGTTGGAAGCCCTAAAACTGCTCCAGCGAGAAGAAGATTTAAAAGAGATGGAATCAAAGAAACAAGAACAAGAGATAAAATTAGAGTTTGAAAAAAAAAATACAAAAAAGTTAAATATTTTAGAAACCAAAGTGTAAATAAAGATTGAAAATATAACAGAGCACCGTATTAAAGCACTGGTGTTAAATGTAATAGAACATCTTAAAAATCTCCCTACGAAGTTTTCAATGTACATAACCCACGCAGACGAAGATATGGGCTTAGTATGCATCATTGCATTTCTCATGTATACTGAAGCTGCATAAGAATAATTGAAGATTTGACAACGATCTTGAAATAGAGTCTGGCCCGAACTAGTACATCAAATTGCTGTCTAGATATCTCGACAATCAATGTAATCATGGTCTAGCGGTGAGCATGTTTCAATTCCGTTATCTATATTTCGTAACATATCTTTCGTTCTGATTGAAATCGGCTGAGTAGGTGCCGAGATCGCGGTAGAAAATGACTGTGGAGCGAGTTAAATAACGGAACTAAAATCACCTAAATGGCGCAATTTTCTATAGAAGTAATGAACACACGAAATGTTTAGTCAACACCATTTTATTAAGTGATAGGTATAAGATATCTACACAAAGAAAAGCAAGATGAACTGAACAAGTTAACAAGAACAAAACATGAATACCTCCTATGTTAATACAAATCAATACTCTGTTGCGTGTCGGACATTGTTGTCAACATTATTCTGAAAATTCCTAGGTCTTTTGAGTTTTCTTTGTTTTGATGAATCTTTCGAAGCCCGATCACTTAAATTAAATTAAATTAAATTAATGTCGTTCTTTGATTTATTAGCACTTCACAATCATTTTCGACCACGGTTTCGGACCCAGTCAGCTCATACAATGTAACAAATCAGAACGTCTTGTTTGGGCTATGATGTTGAGATATATGACAAAATTAAAATATTCTAGCGGTAAGAGCATTTGTATACAAAACCAAGATGACTTGATTCGAATCCTGGCGACGACAGGCTTTTTTCAAACCTCCAAGTATTTGTTTTCATCTTTGGGGTTCGGGATGGTCTTAACAATTCGTATGGGATTTTTTAAATTTGTTTAAGAATTTTCAAAATGTCTACAACTTATTTTAGATAATTGTGACCTTTCGGATTTCGATTTGCGATCTACAATATACAGGGTGTTTCAGATTTAAACGGACACAGCTTAATGGAAGGTAGAGTACATTTAGCTAATTTCAAAACACCCACATACTTTTAGCTTTTAATCTTACTCGTTTCTGAGATATAGGGTGTTTTATGATTTTTTGCCAAAACTAAAATCAGCCGTTTTGTTTGAACGGCTGGAAATATTTTAAAAAAATTTTGTACAAAAGTTGCACTCTTTTAGGTTAATCAAAACCATAATTTAATTTAAAAAAAATTCTAGGAGCGGACTCTCTTTTTTTATATTGCTCTTCTTAGCTAGAATATCACCCTGTATATCGGATTTTAACAAATGTTACTGCACATTTAAATAGTACGTAAATCAATAAATAAAATAATGTAATAATATTTAATGGCATACATCTTAAATTTCTTACAGTAAATTTTGGCGACTACAATATTATAAATCAATATTTACAATATTAAAATTAAATATTTTACTCTGTACTTTTAAAACTCTACACAATTTAGGTACCATCTTGATTTTTTTTAACTACAGCATTTTCCATTAGGAAATTGAACATCTACACAGGACCGGGCTCACTTTATTTAATAAAGTAATAGAACAAACTGACAGAAACAAATAATTAAAACTGAAGTAGATTTTCAAAATGAACACCGTAAAAGTCAATACACCTCTGCGAACGTTTTAACAGGTTTTTCACTGATTTCTCAATTATTTTCGGTTTATTTTTAATGTTGATCCATACATTGTTAATTTTTTTCTATAACTGTGCTTGGGTATTAAGTGATTTTTTATAAATTCCACACCAAATATTTTATATGTGTTCAAGTCGCTGTACTTTTTGTACATAACATAGATACAAATTTAACTTTTTTTAATTTCTCCATACACTTGTTTCTGGTACCTAGGTACTGCTTATTCATTACATATTCTTACACTAACAGAAATATGATTTCGAACCACCTCATTCATTTCTCTCTCTCTCTCTTCATCTTTAGGTAATTATATTTGGAAATTAAAATGAACTAAAACTTAAACGGACTAAATCTCTGATGAAATCAAATTAAAAAGTTCAAAAAACTAGGTATTTTATAAACGAGTCGAAAACTCAATTTAGTCAACTGCCAATATGCGCCAAATTACACCATCACTCATTCCGTCCTAAACATAATAAATGTAAAATTGTATAATACCAGTAGACTTGTGTCAAATAATATCATTTATTTTATATACAGTATTTTGAGCTAAATTACTTTTGTTCGTAAGTGTAAGTTTCTAATGGTATGAAAATAAGTAGGAATTTCAGGATGCCGTTTCAATTTAGTAATGAAGAATATGCAGACATTATTTTTGTGTTCGGTTTTTGTAACGGAAACGGTAGAGCAGCAATAAGAGAGTATCGTAGACGCTTTCCTAATCGCCGTTTACCAAATTCTAAGACATTTTCGCAGGTTTTCGAATTCAGTAAACAACATGGAAAGTTTCCAACTACAGTTAAATATGAAAAATCTTCGACAAAAAGGGGAGATACTACAGATAGCTTGAAATAATCCTTCTATCAATGTAAGAAGAATTGGTAATGAATTAGCAGTATCGATAACAAGAGGAAAACTTTAAAAAAAGAAAATTTGCCTCCATTTCATGTACAAAAAGTACGACTTGAACACGGAAACGACGTATCCCGCTTATCTTTTTGTACATGGACTTTGGCCCACAGAAGGACAATATCGAGAATTTTATTTACTGATGAATCCCAATTTACATGTGATGGGATCAATAACACTAGGAATGGTAATATTTGGGCAACTGAAAATCCTCACACTGTATCAGAAAAACATTCCCAATATAGATTTTCTATAAATGTATGGTGTGATATTTATTAAAATCATTTAATAGACCCTCATGTTTTTGAAGGCAGATTAACAGTTGAAGTTTATTTAAATTTCCTTAGGGACATTCTGCCAAATTTTTTTAGAAGGGATTAATACTAGAGGAATGTGGTTTCAACACGATGGTGCTGGACCTTATTTTCAAATTCTGGTCAGAGACCATTTAAATCATCGTTTCCCAAATAGATGGATAGGTCGAGGCGATCCCGTCAATTGACCATCAACATCTCCAGATCTAACACCTCTGGATTATGTTTTATGGGGCTACCTTAAATCAGAGGTGTACAACGAAGAAATGAATACCCGCGCACAGTTATTGTAAAAAAATAATAATGTATATAACAACATTAGAAATAAACCGGAAATAATTGACAAATTAGTAAAAAACCTGTTAAAACGTTCGCAAAGGCATTGACGTTCACGGTGTTCATTTTGAATATCTACTTTAGTTTTAATTATTGGTTTCTGTTAGTTTGTTCTGTTATTTTATCAAATAAAGTGAGCCCGGTCCTGTGAAGATGTTTAATTTCTTATTGGAAAATGCAGTAGTTAAAAATAAATAAAAATGGTAGCTATTTTGTGTAGAGTTTTAAAAATACAGAGTAAAATATTTGTTTTCAATTTTGTAAATACTGATTTATAATATTGTAGTCGCCATTATAAAAATTTACTGTAGGAAAATCAAGATGGTGCCATTAAATATTACATTATTTTATTTATTGATCCACGTAATATTTAAATGTGTAGTTACATTTATTAAAATCCGATATACAGGGTGATATTCTAGCTAAGAAAAGCAATATAAAAAAAGAGTACGGACCTGGAATTTTTTAAAATTAAATTATGGATTTGATTAACCTAAGAGAGTGTCACTTTTGTATAAAATTTTATCAAAATATCTCTAGCCGTTCAAACAAAATGGCCGACTTCAGTTTTGGCAAAAAATCATAAAACATCCTATATCTCAGAAACGAGTAAGATTGAAGGCTAAATATGGGAGTGTTTTGAACTCAGCTACCTGCCATTAAGCTGTTTTCGTTTAAATCTGAAACACCCTGTATTAAATTTACAATTTTCTTTAATGTAATAGATCAAAAGCCTCCAATAAATCGACAGCTCTATACAGATATGGAAATCGCAATGCAAACCCTCTATTTTACAATGAATTGGACAAGCGCATTACCTATTCTGTGACCTTATGCAGGGTACGACTCTGGTACATTTTGAGACGGTTTGAACAAAAGTACATTTTTAATATTTCTTGTACATTTTGTACAATTTTTAACATTAATCTGACGACCCAAATTTTACACAAAGGTATATTTTACCAGCGAAGTAGTAGAAGAGAAAGAATTTACAAGACCAAGACAAATTTTAGACAAATTTAACAATCCAGAAATTGAGTTATACCTTACATTTTTATCTTATATTTTACCCTTAGTAAACAAACTTACATAGAATTTCAATCTGAGACTCTAAAACTTTACTTATTGTATAAAATGGTTTCTTCGCTGTATAAAACCATTCTGAAAAATTACCTGAAAAACGAATATGTTAATTCTGTCAATATTTTTACGATAAATCTCCAAAATGTTTATAAATACCTGCCAAATAGTAAACTTTATTTTGGTCAAAAAAGTCCACTACTAATCAAAAAATATAATATCACAAATGAGTTTGACTGAATTTTATAATAATTGTATTTACTTTTACGTAGAGCTGTATTTGCAAATTCGAAATAGGTTTAAAAATATTTCACAGTTTGAATTTTTTTTATTATTAGATCCAAACTTGCTACTAGATAAGCCTACTTCTCTTTCTCCATTGTTTCAACAATTTTCTCATTTAATACCGAATGACAAATTGGAGGAAACTGCGCGTGAGGCAAGAGAATTATGTAATTTATCAGATAGCCCAGGATCCGTAATTAAGGTCGACCTTCACCCATTTGTTTTATGGATAAAAGTTTTAAAAAATATGTTTTTAAATATACTGCAAATGGGTTGCCTAAAAAAATACGGTCACGGCCATTTTTTACCTTTCTTTCTGTGTACAGATAAGGAATCATGCTAAAAGTTGCTTATAATGTCATTCTCTGTTATTTTGTTCCTATACATGATTTCCCTAAAATGGACCTAATTCGAGATATTTGAGGAAAAGTGCAAATTTCGAATTTTGAAGATAACTCAAAAACCAACGAAGAGAAAAACACCAAATTTTAAACTTAAGCTTTAATCCATCCTGCGGTGAGCTGATTAAAGTTTGGACATAGTCGAAGCATCTGGGAAATACCTAACATGGTGTCTTTTTTTTACTTTAAGAAAATAAATAGTCTGGGACGTATTTTCTTAGGCAACCCATTTGCAGTATATTGATAAACATATTTTATGTAATAAAAATAAACGTTCATCAATTAAACAGATGGGTGAAGGTCGACCTTACTTCGGATCTTGGACCAAGAAAGGGTAAATATCAATGAAAGTATTAGAATTTACCAAATTTTAGTTTGAATTAAATACTTTCAAAAACGCAGGCAATGAAAAAATATTCGGTAACTTATTCGAATTTGTATTTAATATTTTCTCATTGCCCCATATTTATCAGAACTGAATTTAATTGAAACGAAAACTAGTAACCGTCTATTACCTGAAATGTGCAATGCACTATTAATAGCGAAATCTTTTTTAGGCAATCATCGTTGTTTTCAGTATGAGCCTTCTCAGTCCTTGTTAAAAAACGATTTTCTTTATGAGAAAGTAAAAGAAGTACTACCATAGTAAAGTCCCCATGAACGAGAATTTAAGGGAAAAAATTGTCAATTTTTTTTTCAACGAAATTATTGCAAATTTTCAATGACATTTATTTCATGCATCTCTATAAGTAGGGATGGGCGAAATAAACTGCAAGGCAAAATGTCAAAGTCGCGTCCATAACAACTTAGATTAATAATGGTATTTAAAATTACCATGTAGTATGCCGAATTTATTAATAAACAATTAGTTTACAAACATATTTTTTCTGTACAATCGTTTAAAATCTGGTAAAATTTTGTCGTGGGATCTATACAATTCTTTGAAGGCCTCTGGCAACACTGGTACGACTTCCAGTTCACTTCCACTTACGCTCGTCTCGAATATACATTTGGTTAGCATTATCCGCGTTTTAATTTCCGAATCAGTATAATATACTGAAATATCATGTGGACATGAAAAAGTAAGATCAATGTTGGAAGCCGATGAATTGTCACATAAAGAATTTTTATATTTTAATGATAAAAGACTAAAAATTCATGAACATGAACTTAAAAATAATGGTTGCGTTCTTGCTAATCCTGCTGATTCAACGCGCAACGTCTGAGCGTCTGGTGAAAGAATTTACGGCAGCAAATAATCAATTAAAAAATATATATTAACTTAAATTTGGGGACATTGTCAAGAAATGACCCATATTTATTTCATTGAAAAACATTGTTGTTTAACTTAAGAAAATTGGCTAGGTACCGTTATAATGCAATGGAAGACTTCATTAATAGATAACATCGGCAATATTATATTAGAAAGCCTAGGCCACTGTCATTGTATATGTGCGATTAACTAAAAGTTGACTTCCAAAATTTGCAAGGGTAGATTTTGGTTGAGCCATACATGGTTCTTAATAGTAACATAAATCGACACTACACCTTTAGATAAATATAAAGACGTAAGGCTAATTCTTCCACGATACGAGATTTGCTTCTGCTTGTGCCCATTCCGGTAGATAAAAGGATTTATAGGTTAAACTTAACTACAAGAACCAGATTGTACCCACAGATAAACAATTGGCAGGTTTATTGAATAAACTCGTGGATATTTGAACGTCCTTCCTGGCTTTAGTCAGATTATTAGAAAAGTGATCATTGCAAGTTTGCCAATTACTTATTCTAAACGGCCGCAAGAACGAGTTTTTATTTAGACAAAACTTGAAAATATATTTATTATGCAGACCGGTACCCACTTCTGAAACAAATTTTAGAAAATATATGAGCCGTCAAAGTAAGGGACAGCTTATAACTTCTTTAAGTAATTACGTTTTGGAACTATCAAAAAGTCAGAGAAATATGGAATCTATTGGAATATACTTATCCCCTCTAATAAACAGATATGTAGTTGTTGGACGACTATCTTGTAAGGAATTCGAAGTTTTAGACATGTTTGAATCCCTAGAACCATTTTAAATAGGACATTTCTACTTGGGCCAATTAAATAATTCATCAGTTTGGGTAGAAGATGGATATTACTATATGTTTGAAAGGGATACCAATGGAAGATCCCATGAAGTCAGCCATTCAGAAATTTTCTGTGACACCTCTTTATTTAAAAAATCAGTGGCTCAAAGGTTTGTCGAGCATTGTGGACGAGACGGCAAAGTCAGAGTAATCAAAGTAAAGACAGCTATAGAGGTGTATCTGAGAATAGTCACCAACATTTAATCTTCGGTCGCCTAATTAGCTTTTATGAAACCGGAAGAAGTCAAAACTGGATTTATTTTATGAAAAAATAAATATTTATCCAACCAGCTAAAATTGTTTTACGGATTTTAATGTATTAATCTTGAAATCTTTATTGGATTATATAAATTAACACTTTGATACAACATTCTTTTTCATATTTTTATTTTTCTGTATTTTAGTAATCCTCTCCCTTTGCGTCTTCGTCTTAACTGTTTTTAAATAAAGCTTGGATCTGAAAATTTGATATCAAAAGCAAATAAAATACTTACATTGTAACGGAATAGACAGTAACAAAAACACAGCACCAGACAAAGCAGCCAAACCAATGTGGATATACAACAAATACATAACTACCAGCGTCTGGATAGGTGCCAAATAAATAAAATGAAGACGATGTGTTGCTTGATCAAATCTACTGACATCGTTGGACAACAGGTTAACTATCTGACCAATTGTCGTTTCGGCCATAGCTGATTGGCTCAGCCTTAGCGTTTTTTTATAGATCAAGGAACATGATGATATTCTAAACTTCATTCCGACTTGCATCATGCCTAGCAGGAACTTATGGATACAAACGATTTGAACAAATTGGATGAATACTATAAGGCTGGTATAGATATAAACCTCATTTTTTGCTCCTTCTGGCGACTTTTCTTCGTATATTAAGAGAAGCTTCGAGATCAAAAATGGTTGCGCCATACTGAAAAAAATATAAGCCTAAATAAATAAAACAAAAACAAATAAATCAGAGGATAATAAAAATAATAGAAATAAGAATAGTTCTTGGACGATATACAGAGTCTTCCATACCTGTACTCCAGGTGACATACCACCAATTGGTGAAAACGAAATTAAAAATCCCTAGATGTTAGCCAGGGCCGTGGATATTTAATAGAAAATACAATTGTTGGAAATACATGCAACATATTGCACTAATACATTAGGCTAGTCCAGTTCCTGAGGGCCAAACAAATTAAGTCATATTCAAACAGGTAACTCTTCAATAATAATTTAATCAAAGAAACTAAAAAAACCGGCCCTATCTTACGAATAAGTTGAAAAAACCGAAAGAAACGGATCTTAATGTTTCCATATCGACGCTGCGCTCTCTTATGCTTGGACAAGCTGGAAATAGTTTGAAATAAATTAGCGGCACTTTTGAAAACTCACAACGAAACACACCTAATTGATCAAAAGACAATAGATGGAAGAGATGAAGGCATAAATAGAGGAAGCAGCCATCCTAGAATAGAAATGATGCATAAACTTGCAACTATGCGCTTCTGCAGACATGCATTTTAGCTTGCTTCCGGAATTAACTTAGTTATACATAGGTAAAAATGTGAAATATTTTTCTGGCCAAATCAACAATCAGTAATTTAGTTAGTAACCTATGTTGTTGTGACACATCATTGTTAGGGTTACCAGGTTTACGAAAGAGAAAATCGGAACAACGGTGACGATAAGGTTATTGATCAGGTTATAAAATAGGTATTTTTTTTAAATCTTGTATTTTTTTGTGGAGATCTAAATTTTTACAAAACAGTTTCTTTTTCTGAGGAGCTTCTCAAGAGAAAGTGTGTCATTTCAGTAAAATAGGTCACATTTAAGTAAAAAGCGTGGCATTTAGGTGAAAAGCTTGGCATTTTCGTACTATAGCGTCATTCGTGTCAGCAAGTGAAAAAGCGGGACAATTACGCCTAAGGTGGGACGTCTGGTAACGATTATTGTTGAACTTGTGAAATACATTTAATGTAATAAGATGTGTTCAGTAACATGTGATTTTAAATGGAAAATTAGTTTTGGCGAGTCAGGGCCGCATTATTATTTTGTGTTATATTCGGTAGCAACCTATGAACCATTTATACTACAACAGTTATGGAAATAAAATAACAAGAAAAGTATATGAATAATCAAAGATGCTTACGTCATCGATTCTGTCATTATGACAAGAATATTCAAAAGAGTAAATTCGTAGAGGAAAGTTCCTAGTAACACTCTTAAATACGATGGTTCCTTGTTATTTTCAAGATGCTTCTTCCATCTCTTTTCCAGTTTTTTACAAAGTTCTCCAGAATCATGGTCCTTTCTATGCCTGTACATATCATCTTCTGTCAATGTTCTTTTGTAACCCTTTACGAAATAAGGAAGAAGCCAACTGAAACCAATAGATGAATTGTTATATTTTAAATAATATCTTTTCTAATATAAATTATACTCTGTCCGTTGATTAAACTCTATATCAATTTACCTACTAATAATCTCATATACTTACTTTTTTATTTATTCCTAGTATCCCAGCTCTTAGTTTACAGACTCTTACCAATCACTCTGTACATTTAGCAGAAAAAGTTTAAATTAATTATGGCTACAAAATGCCGTACTTGCTCTGTTTACTCGTGACTTTTAAAGTCATTAGAAGGTCGAGTTTATTATTTTTTTAAAAGAAAGTATATATTTTAAAATGCACCTTATTGTATAATGCAAAATAAATCCCCGTACACGGCCTTCAAAAGAAAGATGAAATAAAGAAACAGGGAGAAGTAACAGAACCAACTCCTAGTACTTCGAAAGATGAGACTGATGTGGAGAGCATAGAGAGCCTTAACCTCTCACATCTCTGCGTAGACTCATCTGAGGATGTAGAAATTGATGAAGAAGCAGAAGAGGGGGATATGGAACACACCCTCACCGATGGGGACAAAACCCATTAAAGGAGAGTAAAATGACGGGCATCAACATCGCCCAAGTGAATGTCCATCACGCCAAGGGAGCCTCGGCTGTGATCTCCAGGACATTCACTAAAGATCAATTAGGTATCGTACTGATCCAGGAACCGTGGGTCTACGGAAACCAAGTAAGAGGACTTGCATGTAAGGATGTAAAGGTAATTTATCACAGTGGTGATGAAGCACCCAGAACATGCACAATGGTAAGAAGTAATATTAAATATTCTTGTCTTTCAGAATTCATGACTCGTGATCTTGTTCCAATTCGAGCATGCCTGGAATAAGGAATGAGGCGGCAATATATAGTAATAGCTTCCAGATACTTCGCCGGAGATGGGCCTGTGCCACCCTCGGAAGTATCGAGGCCAGTGGAGTACTGCCAGAGACGAAATCTGCCATTACTTCTTGGAGGCGAGGCCAACACGCACAGCACCATATGGGGAAGCAACGACACTAATCACAGAGGTGAGAAACTTTTAGAATATATTTTTAATAAGAACCTTATTGTGCAAAACATTGGGAATACTCCAACATTTGTAACAAGGGCAAGAAGTGAGGTATTATACATCACATTAAGCACACCAAGCATTAAAGATCTAAATACAAACTGGAGAGTATCGAGTGAACCATCTCTATCTGATCACAAGATAATTGTTTTTACGTTAGAGAACAACATTCCTAAGACGATCCTCAGGAGGAATCCTAGAAAAACAGACTGGGACAAATACAACATCATTCTAGAACTTCTCTGGAACACACATGGAACACACACAAAGTAGTAAATAAGGCCACAAAATCCCTAATGGTATGCAGAAACATTGCAGGTAAACGATGGGGATGTAACCCAAACATACTGCAATGGATGTATACTGCAATAGTGAGACCAATCATCACTTACGAGGCTATAACCTGGAGTAACAGAACTAGTTTAGCTACTACGAGAGATAATATCTCAAAAGTATAAAGACTAGCCTGTGTTTGCATTACTGGTGCAATGAGAACCTGTCTTACGGCCGCAATGGAGGGAATCTTAAACCTCACCCCTCTACATTTGATGATAGAGAACGTGGCAAAAAGGAAAGGAATAATCAGACGAAAGTCTACTTGCTTCAGGACTAAATATACCTGGAACATGCCCCAGGATAAAATGCTAAAAAAAGTACAGTTTTGTGAAAAACTTCACAATCACAGAGCTGAGCTGCAAGAAAGAATGGAGGCCAAGAATCCAGCGCGCTTGCAACCGAAAGACGTGCTATTCAGTGATATACGGACGGTTCCAAAACCATAGAAGGAACTGGAATAGGAGTGTATGGGCCGAGAACCAAGCACTCCGAAAGCTTGGGAAAATACCCAAGCATCTTCCAGGCGGAAATTTACACATCGAGAAGTGTATCCAGTTTAACATCGAGAGAAACTATCATAAACAAGAGATTATCATCATGTCCGATAGTCAAGCAGCCATCAAAGCGCTGAGCTCTTATGTAATCAGCTCAAAAATGGTCTGGAGATGCCTAGAATAATTGAATAAGCTAGGCGAGAAAAGTAGAGTTACTCTCACTTGGGTCCCGGGACATAACGGAGTACAGGGTAACGAGATTGCAGATAATCTTGCAAGGAAAAGGGCTCAAACACCCTGTGTAGGATCTGAGCCGTTCTGCGCTATTAGCAATAATATAATATTAGGAGAGATTAAAAAAGAATTGGGCAGTAGAAGAACCGATAATTAAGACAATCTCTTGGGGCTGAGACAGGACAAGATATTTCTGTGTGAATATAACCAGAAAAGTTCAAAAACCTGCATCTGCCTGAGCTACGTATTGTAACAGGGATCCTTACCGTACATTGCTGACTAAAAGGACACCTAAGTAAACTGAGAGTAGTAGAGGGTAGTAAGTGCATATTCTGAGAGAAGGAGGACGAAACCTTCATTTACATCCTAACTGAATGTGTAGCACTCCAGAATCCAAGGTTACTATATCTAGGAGGATATTAAATAGAAGACGAAGATTTATCTAACTTGAAGCTACTTCAAATCTCACACTTCCTTGAGGAAATAGGATTGGAATGGTCGGTATAGGCCTTGAGACATTTCCTTGGTACATTAGCGATAGAATGGGGCACAATAGATCTTTTAAGTTGCAGTGTATTAACACTCCATTCCCAACATAACATAATGCGAAATAACTTCTGTCTAAACTATTTTTTACTTACTACCCCAGTTCTGAAATTATTTACTACACCAGTATGTTTCCAAATGGATGAACTGAAAACAGAAGTCTCATTGTTTGGGTTTCGCATTTATCAGACCTAAAGCTACTTGATATTTTCTTTGGGCTATTTATAAAACTTTGTAAGATATAGAATTTGCTTGGACTGACAAACAATGACTAGAGAAATATTAATTTCGTCACGCAATAGAACGGTAATTCGCCGCATGGATTGGTGCCGCACACTTTGGACATTTGTTAAATCATTAATTTATATTATTTAAGGTATTAGTTGTATTTATCTGTTTTCCATCCGCTTTCAATGTTTGAAGTAAATCTTGTCTTTAAAATGTTTGTTATTTTAATCATAAAAAAAGAGTAACAGATGGTTTTAAAATAGTGTGTGTATTTATAAAAAATGCTTCTATTTTGATGATTCTAAGCAAGACAAAATCCATTTTATAAACATTGCGAATTTATGCTCAAGCTACTATTACTTTTTTGCTAAATATACACGATAACTTAAACCTGTAAACTAAAAGATGGGACATCCAGTATATACGTCACCTAGCCTATTAATAGTGTTATATAATGTCGATAATTATTATCAAAAGTAATACCACATGAGGTGAGAATGTTTTCAAAAACCATGCTCACCTCCCGCGGTAATGATGCCGCAAGACGAGAGATTCTCGTCTCTTCTCTTGACTTGTCTCGTCTTGACAAGACAAGAAAGACAATTACTCTTAAAATAAAAGTCGAGACGAGATGAGACGAGAGAGTGTCATCTTTCGACGAGAATTTATCGTTTCTCTCGAGCTCTCTCGAGCAATTCACTTTTTGCCTTTTGGAAATTTTCAATTGCTGTTCGTAACATAAAACTTTAACATATTAGATTTCCAGATAGTCTAAAAGTTAACTATAACATACGTATTCTTTAAATGACAACAGATAATTCGGATGTAATTGAGATTTTATAAATAGTAATTTAAATGAAAAAGTATTTTCCATGTCATTTAATAAAAACTACGTTTAAATTGAAGCTGCAAGAAATTTATTATCAACTTAAAATTTAAATAGAATGAGAATGGAGGTTTCATCCTTCTCCTAACAAAAGCTGCACTTATTTTCTTCTACTGCTCTTAGTTTACTAAGGTGTCCAGTTGATAATGCCTGGTAAGAATCCATGTTACAATGCTTCTGATCTTTTTTGGTTATATTCACCTAGAAGTATCTTAGCCTGTCTTAATCCCAAGAGATTGTTCCAATTATCGATTCTTTTTTAATCTATTCCAATATTATGTTACTGCTAATACCGCAGAACGGGTTAGGTCCAACAAAGGGTGTTTGGGCCCCTTTCCTTGTGAGACTATCAACAATCTTGTTACCATTTACCACGTTATGTTCCGGAAACCAAGTGAGAGTAGCTGTATTTTTCTATCTTATTTAGTTTTTTTAGGCATCTCCAGACCATTTTTGAGCTGATTACGTAAGAGCTCGGCGCTTTGATAACTGCTGAGCTGATAATTTCTTGTCTGAGATAGTTTTCTCAATGTTAAACTTAATATACTTCTCAATAGCGTAAATTTCCACCTGGAAGATGTTTGGGTATGTAACCAAACTTTCAGAGTGCCTGGTTCTAGGTCCATATACTCCTATTCCAATTCCTTAAATACTTTTTGGACCTGGCCCTTCTATTGGGCTGACAAAATCGGTAGTGACAGACCTAATTAAAGAACACTCCCTTGTAAAATTAAAGGAAAGATGGAATGAAACAAGAAACTGCAGAGTTGCCAGGGAGCTCTTAAGTTATCCTGACAACACTGCAGCAAACAAATACTTGACTATGACTAGACAGAATCTGCGCCTAGTCACTAGGCATTCTGACTGGTCATTGCCAAGTACTGAAACATTTCCATATCATGGGGCTGTCAAAATCCGCACTCTGCAGAGGGCGCAAACAAGAAGATGCATATCCTATACGATTGCTCGAGGCTCTCATTTATTATATACTGCACAAGATAGGAAGAATTCAGTGAAACATGAGCATTCGGTAAATAATCTCTACCTAATCAGCACAAAGAATAAAACGATACCGCTATGTCACGCGATAACGTTATGTCACTTAATATACAGTGCTGACCAGATCTCATCATCGGTCCTGATTTGCTTGTGTTGGAGAAAAGGAAAGGATGTGGTATCGACGTTGCCAATTACTGGTCGGTAGTAGGTTACCAACCCGTGCGAGCGCCAATTAATATTCATTCCAATAGGACTGCTGACTGATCTTTCTAGCAATCTATATATGTGCATAGTACGTATGTGCATAGTATTCAATTACATTGTGTTAATAAATTATGACTATTGACATAAAATGGTTATTTATTTAACTGGGCACAGAAGTAATAGATTTACTACCGCTGCTAGCATTTCATTGTCGTGGTGAAGCCGAGGTAATGTAACTAACTAGATAAGGCAGTAAATAAATATATTTCTCTGCACGCGTGAAACCTAATTTTTTTCTCCGATTGTTTATACAGTGTGTTTAAATAATTAAACTAAAATGAAATCCTATTTTATTAAACTTTGTAGTTAATTTATTAAAGTAACAGTATGCAGAGCAAAAAAAAAGAAAAAGTGAGTTTTTAATTAAAGTTGAAGGTGGTAGCCATGTGTGAGTTTTAAGTTCAAAAAGGTAAATCAAACGAGGGTGGTCCTTAGGATCTCACAAGAGTATTTTATTACGACCGGTTTCGAGGATCAGATCCTCATCATCAGGTAAGGTCTAAAAATAGAGAGGAAAAACGAATAGAATAGTATTGTTTAAAATAAATAAGTGATTAAATAAATTATTAATAAATAAACTGTTTTTTAAAATAAATAAACATCACAATATGAGAAAAGGACCCAGATACTTGTATTACTGTACAATTTGGGGCGAATGTATTCCTATTTTTTTAAAAGTCCAGTACTAGGATACGTTTTTTCCTGTATCCGACCCAACCTTGATATCCAACTATGTATTGGCTTCGATTGATTAATTCTTAAAGTGTTACTGATAATGATAATATAATACTAATAATATAATTTTTTCAGACAGCCAAGAATTTTCAAAATGTTATCTTTTTTTTAATAACTCAATAATTCACTTGGAATCTCGTTAGTAACCAATTAAGGCTACGATAATAATATACTTGGTATGTGTTCAAAATTTTAATCTATTTTCTACTTGATTTTAATTAGTTACAAATATGACATTTTCCAATTCTGTATTTTATATTTTACTAAGTTTTTATAATCATATTTTAAAAGTAATTAATATTTAAGTATTTCTTTTTAATTGTAAAATTCAACTTTAATATTCTTTCACTTAAAGTTGAGTTATAATTAGGCATTATATATTATAGTAATATCCACCTATACTATTATGCCTACTATATTTTATCACACCACAGATCAGAGATAAGAAACATAAAGATAGGAAAAGATCATAAGAAGCCCATGTTAACAACGACTAGCTTGAACGCAATTAATATGTGACCCACTATGCTTACAATCAAAAAAATCAAAACTGCGTTTTTAGATCAAATGTTCAAATTCAATACAATAATAAATTCTCTCGAACTAATAAATAAAAAAAAATCAAAACATTTTCTTATTTTGCCTTCATTTTTTGTTCTTAGAAGGTGTTTATCACGTTTCTTCGATCATTTCATGTGATAAAACAATCAATTTTTTTAAGAATGTGATTTTTTCATACACCGTTGTAAAGAGGCTTCCAAGACCTTACAAATGAAGTATCGCTCAACCCCCCTTCCCTATACAATTTTGAGGGGTTGAAACGCCCCCTCATAGGGGGTTGCTCGTCCTAGCCTCAAATATACGTCAAAAGATGTCCCCCAAAGAAAATCATCCGATTACATCCAATTACTATGGGATAAGAAATATACGGGGTGGCTCGTCTGAGATGGAACACCCTGTATACAACTAATTGACATTTTTTATTTACAAACTGTCCACTGCTGTCCACGTCTAATGTCTGTCTACAAACGATGTGTAACTTTAGTTATCATCCGAGACGCATATACCACGCCATCATTGCTGCCACCGTTGTGGTTCCTATCTTTATGATTTTGATCTGTGCCACAGGTGTGATAAGCTGTACTTTATTCAGTAGAAAACAAATCATTATTTATATCACTTACCAAAATAGTAGACTAGAAATAAAATTCGTTCTATCTTGTGGATTGGTCTTTTTTTCGGCATCTTTGGTTCCAGCTTCCTCCATATTGAATATATTCTCTAAGAATTAAAGAAATATAGAAACAATTATATAAACCTCAAAATCAGTAACACAAGTAACATCAATACACATTTTCACACATCATGCATATTTTATTCTGAACTCGTTTTTATATCTTCATTGAAATCTCTTAAAATTTCTCCATTTTGATCAATTTTAGAGAATTCTAGTACTTAACAAGAATTATAAAGAATTACATCAGAAACAACTTTTAATATAAAAAACATAAAAAAAGTCGTACTATAAGTTAATTCTTTTAATATGCATATAAAACAATAGTGTTCGGCAACTGAAGCACACAATTTTCTAAATTAACACCCTGAATTATATAACATTATGGCATTTCCATCAGTTGATTTTGTAAAAGAAAATACTTTAGGTCATGAAGTATAAATTAAGTAGTTTAAAATCACTCATTTCCAACTTAATTATTTATTTACTTTAGACCTTCATGTAAACATTATAGCTTCTTGAAATCAGCATTCCAAAGGAAATACCAAAATGCTATAAAATAACCTTTAGCTTTTGACTGCACTATATAAAACATCGCCTTTCTAGCATGAAAAAACAAACTGAATATTAGTAGTACATTTTACAACAGTTGTTAACAGAGATTGTCAAAAATAATCAGTAATATCTGATTTTACAAAATATGATCTAGACAAGAGTTGGAGCCATTAAAGAGTTTAGTGAGCATATTACTTAATTAAAAATATCCCACTTCATTTAATTTATTTAAATAATCATCGGTTTATTCATAGTCTGTCATAATATTAATTATTAATTAATTAATAGTAATAGATATAGATATAACAACGATAACAAATAGGGTAATTTATAAAGTATAATAATGAAAAATTAATAAATTAGGTCGTTAAAGTTTTAGGGCAAATGTCGAAAAGTGTGTGTGTGTGTGTGTGTGTGTGTGTGTGTGTGTGTGTGTGTGTGTGTGTGTGTGTGTGTGTGTGTGTGTGTGTGTGTGTGTGTGTGTGTGTGTATGTGTGTGTGTGTGTGTGTGTGTGTGTGTGTGTGTGTGTGTGTGTGTGTGTGTGCGTGTGTGTGCGTGTGTGTGTGTCTGTATCCACCATAACTCATGAACCGATACAAAACACCAAATTTTAAACTTAAGCTTTATTCTGGCGTCCAATGAACTGATTAGATTTTGACACAGTCGGCTCATTTGAGGGGGTACCTTATATGTGGTAATTTTTATATTTTCTAGAATATATCTGTTATTTACGTTTGGAGAAGAAAGTTCTTCAAGTAAAAGTTACTTCTAATATTATAATCTATAATTTTTGTTCCATACAAAATTTTCCTAAAATAGTCTGTATTCGAGAAATTTGACAAAATGTAAAAAAAATATTATTTATAAAAATTGTTTAAATGAAAGTTGTTTGTAATATAATTCTCTATAATTTTTATTTTATACATAATTTCTCTAAAATGGAGCGTATTCGAGATATTTGAGATAATGTGTAAATTTCTAATTTTGAAGAAAACTCAAAAACGGACAAAGGAAAAAAACATTATATTTTAAACCTAAGTTTAATTTCGGCCTGACGTAAACTGATTAGATTTTGAACAAAGTCGGAACATCTGGGGGGGGGGGGGGTACTTTATGTGAGGCCGTTTTTATATTTTATGGAATATATCTATTATTTATGTTTGGAGAAGAAAATTGTTCAAATAAAAGTTTTATCTATAATTTTTGTTTTATGTCAAATTTTCCTAAAATGGTCCGTATTCGAGATATTTGGCAAAATGTGCAGAATTTTGATTTTTAAGAAAATTGTTAAACTAAAAGTTGTTTGCGATATCGATCTCTATAATTTTTATTTAATATGATTTTTCTAAAATAGACCGTAATAAAAAAATTGGAGGAAAAGTGCTAAATTTAAATTTTTCAGTATTTTCGTTTCTAATGAATATCTATAGAAAAATGTTTCGAGTTAGTTTATCCTCTAAACATTTATAGAGGTGCTGCAATAGGTTGTACAAAATAACCGAAAAAAGCCTATAATAACTAGATAGGAAAGTCATGTGTTGGACACATCAGATTTGTTTTATAAAAATCTCCTCAATTTCTATTTTTAAAACCATCGATAAAACCAGTTTAGCAATAAAAAAATATTTTTGTAATTACCTAAATTATGTAGTGGAAACCACCGAGAGTCTTACAAGTCAACTAATAAATTTAAAAAGAAAATTACCATAGGAAGTAATTAATTGTTTATCCTTGAATTAAATAACGGTTTGTTTAAATTAGACAATTTGTTTTGAGGTCAAATAATATATCTTTTTTTAAAATTTCCTTATCTGCTGTCTTTTCGTATAATTGATAATACTATTTACATAATTTTTAGTGATAACTCTATAGTTTCTTTTCTCTCATAAATGAAATAAAAAATTATATGAAAATGAAAGCATTAACATTAGGTTTTAAAATTAAACAGATTAATTTATAAAAATTTGAATATTTATAAACACATCAGTGGCGGCTCGTGGTTAAAAACATTTGGTGTTTTGCAAGATTCTGCCTTCCACCTTAACGCAATAATACCTAAATCTGATGTGTCCAAAACATGACTTTCCTATCTAGTCATTATAGGCTTTTTCCAGTTATTTTGAATAACCTATTGCAGCACCTCCATAAATATATACATTTTCCACATACATCTAACTCGAAACAGTTTTTTATAGATATTCATTGAAAACGAAAATACTGAAAAATTTACATTAAGCACCCTTCCGCCAATTGTTCCATTACGGTCCATTTTAGAGAAATCATGTCAAACACAAAGATTATAGAGATCGATATCGCAAACATCTTTTAGTTTAACAATTTTCTTAAAAATCAGAATTTTTTACTTTTTGAAAAATTTCTCGAATACGCCCATTTTGGAAAAATTTTGTATAGAATAAAAATTATAGAGAATAAAGTACCCCCCAGATGTTTCGCCTCTGTCCAAAATCTAATCATTTTACCTCAGGCCGAAATAAAACTTTAGTTTAAAATGTAATGTTTGTTTTTTCTACTTTTCCACACCACACACGCGCGCACACACACACATACACACACACACAAAAACACACACACACACACACACACACACACACACACACACACACACACACACACACACACACACACATCGCGAAAATTGTCAAAACGGATTCAGGGGACCCCAAAACGTAGAAAAACCGTCAAAAACTCGAGGTCGAAAAAATTATGATTCCTATACTTTCTTTATCTGTATACAGCTTTTATTCAACTACTTTTTATGCCTTTATTCTATTCTACGGTTTTTTTAGCAGCAAACTTATCAATCATTCTTTCATTGGTTTTCTATTTTTGACATGAATTTCTTTTCTATAGGTAGTATAGAAAATGCAATTAAACGGTCTTCTGTCATCGAATATCATCGAAAGGTCTTGACACGCTTTAACGTTGAAAAGCATCGTTCAGCCTCTGCCGTTGTCATAGGAGTGGTCATAATAATTTTTAATAATTTGTTGGTTTTATTTAAAGTCTGTGACGAGGGTAACCACTGACGATGTAGGAGGATTTACTAGAATGTATTAGGATTTCTGGAGGATGTATGAGGATGTATAAGGAAGTATAAGGATGTTTAAGGGTGTATAAGGATGTATAAGAATGTATAAGCATGTATAAGGATGTATAAGGATGTGTAAGGATGTATAAGGATGTATAAGGATGTATAAGGATGTATAAGGATGTATAAGGATGTATAAGGATGTATAAGGATGTATAAGGATGTATAAGGATGTATAAGGATGTATAAGGATGTATAAGGATGTATAAGGATGTATAAGGATGTATAAGGATGTATAAGGATGTATAAGGATGTATAAGGATGTATAAGGATGTATAAGGATGTATAAGGATGTATAAGGATGTATAAGGATGTATAAGGATGTATAAGGATGTATAAGGATGTATAAGGATATATAAAGATATATAAGGATGTATAAGGATGTATAAGGATGTATAAGGATGTTTAAGGATGTATAAGGATGTATAAGGATGTATAAGGATGTATAAGGATGTATAAGGATGTATAAGGATGTATAAGGATGTATAAGGATGTATAAGGATGTATAAGGATGTATAAGGATGTATAAGGATGTATAAGGATGTATAAGGATGTATAAGGATGTATAAGGATGTATAAGGATGTATAAGGATGTATAAGGATGTATAAGGATGTATAAGGATGTATAAGGATGTATAAGGATGTATAAGGATGTAGAAGGATTTACGTGGATGTATGAGGATTTCTAGAGAATGTATGATAATTTTTTTAGATGTACAAGGATATAAAAATATTGAACTAATTTATTTGCCATAAAACTATCAAAATTTTTAAATTACACTATATAGGACATAAGATAAATTAGATAAAGCTAAAAATTAATATGTTGGTCCAATTCGATTGTCCTCTTTCAATTGTTTCTGGGCGAACCGGCTTGCATTTTTTAGGGGTATTTAAAAAAAAAAGATTTCTGGGAGCGGTGCAAAAATGGCTAACATTAAATGAAATATTCTTGTCCAGTCGTCATTTAGAGGTTATTTGTAGTGAAAACCCCCTCTTTTTGCACTGCTTCCATTTTACGAGCGTTAGAGGTCGAAATGAGGGTCATATTAAATTTAAAAAAAAATTAAAACCGCATTATATCTGAATAAATTCAGTTTTGTTCAAGTCGATAGCTATACTATTAAGGAAATTGTAAGCGCTTGATTTCGTCAAAAGTTTGTATATTTTTTTTAAAGTTGCACTTATAATTCTCCTGGAAGGTCAATTATAAAAAAAAGGTTTCTCGCTTATAAATCAAAAATTTAGTCTTGTCCATGTTTAACAAAGCGTTTATTTTTGATGCGAATACTGCATGACTGAGACGCTATAAAAGGAACGCGGAAACATTAAATTTTGAGGGTATAGGTACTTATATAAATGTTCTGA